CGAGCATATCCAACATCTTCGGTTGCTTTTTCAACGGTTGGATCAATATGGACTGTCTATAAACCTTTCTAAATGTACTTTTGGAGTACTCACCTTAAATTTCCTTGGTTTTCAAGTCTGCAGTTCTGGTATTAAACCTTTAGAGAATAGAGTGGAAGCATTCTTAAAATTTCCTAAACCAACCACCATCACTCAATTGCGTTGTTTTCTTGGAATGCTGAATTACTACAAACGTTTCATCAGACAGGAGGCCCTTATCCTTGCACCTTTAGTAAATTATTTAAAAGGTATCAGGAATAAAAAACATCCAAAGCGAATTGTCAAAATCAAGCCTGAAGAAGTGCTAGAATGGACGGACGAAGCTACTACAGCTTTTGAACTGGTGAAGCAAGCCCTATCACATGCTACTCTGTTACATCCCCCCATGCCAAATGCACCTCTTAGCATTTGGGTTGATGCTTCAGATTTTGCTGTCGGTGGTGCATTAGCTCAATATCATGACAATGTCTGGCAACTACTTGCTTTCTTATCTACGAAATTGTCTGTATCCCTAAAAAACTGGTCTGCATACGGCCGAGAACTCCTGGCCATATGCACAATGGTCAAAAGGTTTCGGCACATGTTGGAAGGAAGAGAGTTTGTGATTTACACTGATCAGAAACCTCTCATTTATGCTTTTCAACAGAACGCTGACAAATGTAGTCCACGTCAACTTAGACACCCCCCTCTGGATTTTATCTCCCAGTTCTCTACAAACATACAACATGTTCCTGGAACTCAGAATTTGGTAGCAGATGTATTATCTCCGATCGAAATTGATTCCATTTACAAAGTAAGTTGTCTCGATTATAAGGACATTTAAAAAGAAACATCCTGTAGAAACTATTTAAATATTTCTTGACAAAAACTAAATATTTTTCAATTATTCTACTCACCTTATTTTTATAACACGACACAAGTTTAGAAAAGGCCCGGTAAATAGTAATTGTATTATAACTCACTCAACTTCACTAGCAACCAAACTGCAAGGCAATTATTTCATAAATAAAACAATAGAACTGCCTTTTTCCTCTTATAGTCACGGTTAAAAGCGTGTGAAAGCTTGTCAGGACTGAATTTTCGCGCCCACCCGCATTTTCATACATACAGTCACTCAAAAAAGTATTGGGACACTTGGCATGCCTAACTGTAAAGCCATTTATGAGAGAAAATATTTATCCCATTAAAACAAAAACAAAATGAATTAAGAAATATTTTTAAAAAGTCAAAAAAGTATTGGGACACTTTTAAAATGAGAAATTTAACAAATACACAGTTCATCAATAGAATTTAATTTCACACTATTTTTTTAGGCTAGAAGTTTCAACACAAATGTTTCACCAGATAAGATTATTTCTAGAAAAATGGCGAGAAACAAATATATATCTCTTGATGTGTGAAATATCATAATAAGCTATTGGAAAGAGAAGAAATCAATTCGCTGTATAGGAAAGTATTGAAATTGATTAAGTCTACTGTTTTTAACATCACTCACTGAATTAAGAAAACAAACAATGTTGAAAATAAGCAAAGATCAGGGCGTCCAAGGATATTTAATGAACAGAAAGAGAGGTGGATTGTGAGACAAGTACACATTAATCCAAGAACTAGTGCAGTAAAAATGACTTTGCAATGTAAAAATAGGTTCGGAAAATCAGTAAATCCGGAAATTGTCAAAAATGTTTTAAGAAAATATAAGTATCATGGCAGAGTACCTCAAAGAAAGCCCTACATCAGCAAAGTAAATAGACAAGCTAGGTCGACATTTGCTAAAATGTATGTAAGGCAGCTAACAGAATATTGGGAAAATATAATTTTTATTGACGAAAGCAAATATATATATATATATATATATATATATATATATATATATATATATATATATATATATATATATATAACATTTTCGGATCAATTGGCAAGCAAAAAGTTTGGTGGAAATCAAATACAATGCATGTCAAAAATTTACGGCCTACTGTCAAATATGGAAGGAGTAACCAAACTGCCTGGGGCTGCATGAAAAGCTCTGGTTTGGGACATTTTATTGATGGTATAACGAATAAATATGCCTATCTTGACATTATCAAGCGAAATTAAAAGCAAAGAGCGAGCACGCTGGGAATCTCATGATATTTTAAATTGCACCCGTAACATACTGCAGATCTTTGCAAGTAATGGGTCCTCTACCACTGTCCTAGTGCTATTAAGACTCCTGCACAAAGTCCAGACCTTAATCCCATTGAACAGGGGGGTTGGATTATTTGCAGCAAAAACTATATGAGCACCACATTTCTCTAACAAGCAAGTTTTAAGAAATACTTGATCAAAGAGTGGACCAAAATCGATAGATCGTTTTGCCAAAAAAGTTATCCAATCCATGCCAAATAGACTTCGAGAGGTCATAAAAAGCAAGGAGGGCCGAACAAGATATTAACTTCTAAGTTTGAATTGTTTTTATTAATTTATTGGGAAGTGTCCCAATACTTTTTTGAGCGCGTTTTTTAACTCGATTCCTTTTATTTTCAATTTTAACCATAATTGCATTAATGTACAAGTTTTGTTCAAACTATTAGTATATGTATTTAACAAAATAGTGTATACTTCTTTTTTTTCGTTTCATTTGTATGTTTAATTAAAGTATTACGATAAAAATCTATGAACTGGTAGTGTGTCCCAATACTTTTTTGACAGACTGTATTTCGACAAATTAAGACACAAGGTAAAAAATGCTATTACAGCACTTTGTATGTGTTTCCATTTATTTAAATTATAATAAAAGGAGTGATTTTGCTTACGCTATTTTTAAAAAGCTATTTCTAAGTGGGAATTTATTATGCTTATAAGAGGTATCCTTGTGTGTGTGTGTGAATTTCAAATATTTTCACTTTCAAAATACTTAAAAGTTTAAACACACACACACACACACATATATATATATATATACAGTATAATAAAATAAAAGTGAAAAAGTTATAAAAACTACAATGCCAAAGAAGAAATTGGAGTTCGCGAGACACAACAAATGTAGATACAAACAGTCTTTGAACTAAACTATGAATCTTGGTTTATTTTCTTCATAAACGAGTTAATTTTAAAGCCAATTTGCTTTAAAATAAATAATTCCTAAGATTGCCGCCTCAGGCAGGGACCCACCCCTGGCGCCGGCCCTGCGGTTCGAAAGTGTCCAGTTCTAATCTTCCTACGGATTCAGTGTGCATCGGTTCCTTCTACACTGCAGTTTTCAGCAACACTAAGCTCGAACTTATGGCATGGGTCACGAATTTGTGACCATAACTACTAGGCTACCAAGGTCACATTGTTTCATGTGCTAACGACGTCCAGTTTGTGCACTTTGGCATCATCTTGGCGGAATTTTAAGATTGTAGCCGAAGAATGCTTTAAAATAAAATTTAAACATTATTAAGAAAATTAACTCGTGCGAAGAACAGGGATTCCAACTAGTCTCAAATAAAAACACAATAAAAGTAGTACTTCATTAAGAGTAATAATATTCAGTAATTATCATTTTGACGATAATTTTACCACTTTTCTAAAGAAATGCCTTTGTATGTAATTCTGAAACATGGCTTGAAAATATCAAAAATTTAAAATCTCGTTATCAATGATATACGAATGTCAAGAACAAGTTAATCGATCAAAGTTTGTGTACGCGATTCTGAAAAGCTATTATAGAAGGGAGATGAAGTATGAGAGAAGGAACTTCAAAAAATGAAATATGTATAAAAAAGAAAGAAAATCTAACAATCCATTACGTTTACGCTGCCTCTTCAAGGGAAAAGAAATATTTTTTTTAAAATAGTTTTCTTGCGAAGCTTTATAAAAAGAGAAGCTTTCATTATTGCTTCCAATTTCACTTTCGTTTAAAAATCTGAAATATCTTTTTTTTCTCCTCATGACGTCATCTTAGAAGATAAGATCAGCACGCACACACACACACACACACACACACACACACAGGTTCCAATTTTCCATTTCACGTAAGAAAATTTTCTTCCGCCGAGAGATGTATGGCATCATCGATCTTTTAGGCTTAAACTGAAGTTCTTTTATTTAAAAAAAATACTCGAATTTACGGATTTTTACACTTGAAATACATACGCCCCCCCTCTTTTTCTTTTTTTTTTTTTAGTCACAGATTACGTATTTAACATTTCTGAATACCTTACTAACATAAAACGGCTTTAAAAAAATAATAATTAAATTTTTCTTTTCATTGTGATCGATTTTTCTAGTCATTTTACTTCTTACTTTCGTTAATTTATATGCTAAACGTTTTATATGTAAGTTACAATACATTCTTTATATACGTAGAAGTGGTAGCCTGGTGGTCGTGGTCATCGACTTCTATCTGACGTTTTATGAGTTCGAGTCCCAGTACCACTGAAGACACCCCTTGTAGAGGGGCTGATGCTCGTAAAATCTGCCGTGGCTCAAAATCCTGTCGTTGACATGGTGTGGAAATTTGGAGACTGGATGTCACCTCAGGTGTCTTTCTTGATCGTGGTTCAAAATTACAGGATTTGTTTTTCTAACAGATCTTCTGTTGCTTTGAAGTGCGATGTGAATAAGCATTTGATCCTTGAGCATTCTAAAAGTGACATTTTAAAAAGGTTTTCATATTATTTTAAATGCAAACAAGTAATATTAAAAAATTTAGAGTCGATTCCAATATATATATATATATAGTTTTGTAAACAAAGAAAATTTTTATTAATTACACAATTAATATAAACATGCGTATTAATATTGTAATTCTATCATGTGTATAAACATGATAGAATTACAATATTAAGTGACAAAATAGAAAGCGATTTTCTTTTCTGTATAGTGCTTTGGACTATTTTTGTTTGTTTTTGTTACTATTTATTTATTAATTATATATTTAACTGCTCTAATAAATTAGTATAGTAAAAAAGAAATCACATTCTCAGAAATCAGGCCATCCCAGGTGGGATTCAAACCCACGCCCTTTGGATAAGAAGTCCAACGCGCTGTTTATTGCGCTACGAAGACACAACGAGGGATTTTCCTTTCTGCTGTTGGACTATTATTTTTGTCTGTTGCTATTTATTCATTTTTTAATTTAATTGATGAATTAATATTTGAAAAAATGTATTATATATATATAACATCAAGTGTCATCCACTACAAGTTTTAAAAAAATGTATTTTAACTTGAATGGATGAATAGAAAGTATTTTATTAACGATTGAAAATTTGAACAAGATATATATATATATATATATATATATATATATATATAGGGAGAGAGTGAACTAAAAGAGTAGGAATTGAAAGAGAAATATATATATTGTTCAATGGACTAAATTCATTTGACATAGTCACATAACTGCGCCACGTGTTTTCGGCCAATCAGTTCATAAATATTAATGCGACGTATAATTATATTATAAACATAATCACGCGTTTCCAGCCAATTAGTTCAGGTGCTTCAGTGTTGCCAACTTTTGAATTTTGTAGGAACTTTCTTTTAGAAAGTACATATTTGTCAACGATATAATAATGCACATAGTTAAACAAAATGCACTTGATTTAAAAGTATTCGTATAATGTAAGTTTTTTTTTTTTAATTTTGAAAACTGTTTGAAGAATTTTAGCTCATGAACTCTTTACCCAATCATCAAATTTGAAATGTTATCTACACTTTACGAGTTGAACAATTTAGTATGTCAATTTTTAATCAATAGGAAACACGTGATTGCCGTTATCATGTGACCATCATGAATTTAGTCCATTGAGCTTTTCAATGGGCTATCATTAACATTTCCCCAAAACTTTCTAGAACTTTTTTAAAATTCGAAACAAGTTATATCAAATAAATAGGTTAAAGCATTCGTTGGTTCTTGTGATCTGTTTAAAACTTTCTTCAGGAAAAATGATATCTGGATAAAATTCTATCTTATGAACAAGTTTAAATAAAAAGACGGTAACGCATTGTCGAAGTACCCATTTTCTCAATGTCTACGCAATAAGAGTCGTCTTAGTAGCCAAGTGGTCATGATCGAAAAATCGTAGATATTACTGTACCTGTCAAGTTATGGGTTCGAGTCCTGGTGCCACTAAATATCTGCTGTGTAGAGAGATGATGCACGTTAAATCTGTCGAGGTTCGCAGTCTTCACGTGGTCTGATGTGTTTGCTTAAAGATTGGGAAGTCAGCCCTGTTATCGTACTCGTCACTTGATCCAAGTGCATAATTAAATTGTCAATAGTTCTTAAGCTGCATTTACACCAAGGCTGTCAGCGTCGATTGTGAGCGTCTAGCCAATCAGAGATTTCATCTCGGGCGAGATGAAGAAGTCTTTGATTGGCTAGACGCTCGACGCTGACTGCCTTTGTGTAAATGCAGGCTTTAGAAAGCTTCGGGGATTTTAAGGTATTCGACTACGTTCGGAACCGTGATTTTACAAAAACGTATAAATGGATAGTATTTATGATACTTAGTGCCACTTAGATTAGAAATTGTATATAAAATTGTTTTAAGAATAGTAGTACAATAAAAAATTATTTAAGTACAATATATTGACAAAAAATGAACATTGAATGACACATTTTCAAAATGACCCTTTGTGAAAAAGCTTCTATTATAATAATATTTTGCCTGTATATAGCTCAGACCTCTGTACAGAGTCTCAACTAGAATTTTTAAAATATACATCTTAGAAGTGGGTTTATCCATGTTTTAAAACAACAGAGGGGAGAAATTTTAAGAAAAAAACGCCGATAATTTTTCAAAAATCATAGTTGAGCCTCTGTACAGAGGTCTGAGCTATATACATGCAAAATATTATTATAATCGAAGCATTTTTCACAAAAGGAGAACGTTTTGAAAAAAGATTATTCTAAGTTAATTTTTTGCCGAACTATTGTATTTCAATAATTTTTTAAATAAATTTTATATTCTAATTAATTGTATTCTATTCTAAGTGACTCTAAATATCATGAAAATTAACCATTTATGCGCTTTTTTTAAATCATGGTTCCGAACGTAGTCGGATACCTTAATCTAATATATATTATAAATGCGAAAGTTTGTGAGGATATTTGGGGGTCTTTCACGCAAAAACAACTGAATGGATTTTAATGAAACTTTACAGTAATATAGCTTATATATCAGAATAACACATAGGCTATAATTTATAAATATATTGTATGAAGTGTCCAAAATAAAACGATATTTGTTAAGTAGGAAAAATTCTGCCATTTCTGGCGTGCACTGCAAAAAAAAAAAAAAAAAACACCACAGCATATATCTATCTTTTTGTTTGTGAAAAACTCTTTTGTTTTGGCTACGCAAGGCGCTCGCTTCTAATTAATTCATGTGATCAGCATAATGCCTATTTTTTTCCACTTCAGAATAAAACTAAGTTTTGAAGGGAGAGATTGTTATAAATCTCTCTTTATTTTAATGTTTTTTTTATAATTTTACTATGCGCATATGGTAGTAAGAAATTGATCTTTTTTTCAAAATAAATGCTTTCATCAGTTCTGGTACTTAAAGTAAATAAACTTTCTCTTTCACACAGCATCATTTGGACAAATTTTCAAAATTTTTTTTGTGGTTAGTAGTTAATTATAACGCTATAATTTTAAATGAATAGGCAGATATTGCGTTTTTAAGTATAAAAATAATTATAACTACTGTATTGTATTTTTTGGAGTGTGTGAGTGAGTGAATATTAACGTTGCTCTGTTCAGCTACACGAGGGCTTTTGGTAACGGATCACGTAATTTTGAACCATGGTCAAGTGACGTGGACGACACCTGAGCTGGCACCCTCTTCTCCTAACTACCACACCACACCAACTTAGAAGGAATATTCCACCAATACTTAGCAGGAATATTCTTTGAAATCCACTCTTCCAAGATATATGGTAGCACGGGTTCTATGATGAGTATTTTAGCGAGGAAGGCGAATAGTTTTGTAGCAGATATTGCGTTTTCAGCTGACGGCGTTTTCAGCGGATTGCAAAGATTATTATTTTTGTCCCGAAAAAATAGTTTATGTCAAAATTTAAGTGTCTTATGTGTTTGTATGTTAATGAAGACCTTACAAAACCATTTGACTATTTATTTTAAGTGAACGGTGAATATAATTAGTTTTACAGTGGAATATCTTTAATTAATTTATTATCTCTAAAGGATTAGTATTTCGTTTATGTATATCCCTTAATTTTCAATGTAATGATCCAAAAAAAATATTGCATGAAAAAAACTGCAGTAAATCATAATATGGTGGATAAAGCATTAACGTGCATCACGCCCCTACATGGTGGGTCTTACAAAGCTCTAATAAAGCTCGAGCTATGAATGTAGCTAGACAGTTGCCAACTTGACTCTATCATTATCATTTCGCTGTGTTTTTCATTGAATCGCCATTATAGCCATTATAATTTAACAAACGGCGTTGCTTGCGAATATTACAACTTTAACATAAAATAAATACAACAGAAAGTAATATTAATGTATTACACTTTCAGATATAAATTATTTACACTATTTTAAGCGTTCATTACACAAAACTTTTAACAATGTGTTGTTTTTGCTGTGCAAAGATCAGCTTAGGGAGGTATTTTCAAAAATCGACCCACAAGAGTGTTACGGGGAGCTATAAATAAAAAAAATCCTTTTTATCAGCTATTAGATCTACAGACTTAAAATTTAACAAAGGAGTTTTTTTTCTTTTTGTTCAGCTGAGGTATGCAAAAAGCTTTTTTTTGTTGTTTAATTTGAAATTCACGTAAAATTAACTCATTAAAAACTTCTTTATCCTTCAATCTGTGTTGTTTAATTTTTCAGTTCACCTGTGCGAAGAACGGGTATACCAGCTAGTTAAGAATAAATTCAGTTATAAAAATAGTTTATACGTTACGTAATTTTTTTTTCACTTTCTAAAAAATTTAGAAATAAATAAAATAAAAATTAAACTTTTAGTTTTCAAACAAGGTTTTTTTCAATTTTCTTTTTAGCTTTTTCTATTGTGTCATGCAATATTCAAAACGATTATCATTTTCAGTTGTTATATAACTCATCGGACCATTTTAATTATAACGACATTTTAAATTTTTCTATGTCTTATAAAAAGAAACAAAAATACATTTTTTTTAAAAATTCTTTTTTATATTTGCTTCCAATTTCAGTTAATATGCTTTCAGATAAAGCGTGGTTTCAAAATATTTGAATACTTAAAAAGTAAAAAGAAATCTAGCAATGATAATGTTTAAACTTTTTTACATAGAGAATAAGTTAAATAAACTAATAATAATAAATATTAATTTTTTTTCTCTTGCACTATCTTTCCTTTTTTGTGTCTTATGTATCATCGTATCCAATTTCAAAGGAGTTGTCATGAATATTTGAAAAGAGATTAAAGTTGTTCGTCTATTTAATGCAACTCAACAAGAGCATTAACAATTCTTCTAGAGCTTTCGCTAACGATTTTTTTTTAAAAAATTGATGTTACCCATTTTTAAAAGCTGAACAACAAACACATAAAAGGATGCTTACAAAACCTTCATTCAAATTTTTTTTAACAAAAAATGAAAAGTACGTTTTAGATTAAAACGTGCAAAAAATACTGAAAAGTAAAACGAAAAGAAACAAAAACTATATAAAAATATTGCAAAAAGACAAGAATATTGTTTTTATGTTTTAGAAGTACTGCTTTTATAATTTAAAAGAAATTAGAATTCATGCCTCACAAATGGGATATAAAAAAGGCATACTTGGAAGAGAAGAAAAATAAATAAATATAAGTTTGTCCTCTAATTTTTCTTAATCAAAACGGCTTAAATTCATGGCGGTCAATCACACACGTATTATCTACTGAATTCAAAACTGACATTAGATTTGTGCTTCTTTTTTCTTCTCGTAAGGCAGTGCTTCTCAAACTTTTAATATTTTCGACCCAATATTCAATCAGAATTTTCATCGCGCCCCCTTTCCATAAAATAACAATGTTTTGAATTCAGTAATACTATACTTTGACGCTAAA